TAGAACTAATGTTAATTTACACGGAGACAAAACGTCCTCCTTTTTTTCAACATCTCTTTGACTATGCTGATTGTAGTTGTAAACTGAAATACAAATCAACTATGTAATTGCTTTGACAAAAGAAAAATAAAAATATAAATTTCAATGTTATTGCATTTTGACTTCAGTTGTTTTATGACCATGTCATTGTGAAAATGGGAATCGGTAGCAGCAAACGTGAAAATAGAAATGCAAAAGGGATAAAAATCATAATCGTCAGAAAATGTTTCGCTTGGGTATAAGTTTCGGACGCAACGATCTCAATCTTGAGGGTCATTTGCAAGCAGGATACACAAGTAAAACTGTTAAAATTATGGACCCGCTGCGATTAAACTTCCAACAGATAATGCGATAGAAGAAACACTGCCTGTAACTGAAAACATTGAACCCGTCGATAATGAGTAGTTAAAAGAAATTGACATCTAATTGCAAAATTATTATCACGAGAACATTGTCATGAGTAACGTTGACCAGTACTTAGCCGGTGTATACTTCAATCCAAAACGTCCTGGAAGCTACGGAGGTGTTGAACGTTTGTACCGCGATGTAAAGGCAGAAGGAATATATGACATTAGTCGTGAAAGAATTAAAGAATGGCTCATGCAACAAGACGCATACTCTTTGCATAAACCTATTCGAAGAAAGTTTGAAAGAAATCGTGTCGTAGTGAGTGGTATTGACGACCAGTGGCAATTGGATCTTGCAGACATGCAATCTTTGCAAAAGTATAATGATGGTTATCGCTATCTTCTTATCTGTATCGATGTTTTTTCCAAATATGCATGGGCTGTTCCATTAAAAAAGAAAACAGGATCGTCGTTGGTAGAAGCTTTTAAAAAGATATTGTCATCAGGGCGTAAACCGACACACATTCAAACGGATCAAGGCTCGGAGTTTTTAATCGAGACTTTAAGAAACTTTGGCAGAAGAAAACGTTACCTTATTTAATACATTTAACGAGACGAAGGCATCCATCGTTGAACGTTTGATACGTACACTGAAAACTAAAATGTGGCGCTACTTCACAGCAAACAAAACCATGAGATACATTGACATGCTTCCTGATCTACTGTATTCTTATAATCATAGCATGCATCGCAGCATTAAGGAAAAACCGATCAACGTTACAAGTGAAAATGAAGATAGAATTCGGCAAAATCTATACGAGGATAGCAAATTAAATAAACCTATGCATGTAAAATATAAGTTTGATATAGGTAACCAAGTACGAATAAGTAAAATAAAACGAAGGTTTGAGAAGGGGTATTTACCGAATTTTTCAAAAGAAATTTTCACTGTAAGTCAAAAAATACCGCGCAATCCTCCTGTATACAGACTGAAAGATCATGAAGGGGACGAACTTCAAGGAACATTTTATGAAAAAGAACTTCAAAAAGTCATCAAGAAAGACGATGTTTATGAGATTGAAAAAATACTTAAGAAACGTGGTAGAGGGGGCAATGTACAATATTTTGTAAAGTGGTCTGGCTACCCTAACAAATTTAATTCATGGGTACTAGCATGGGAAATACATATATAAAACGTAACCGTTTTCATGATTTTTCATTTCACATTATACCTTAAAGATGAGCGGGACACACTTCTACCTGACATTACCTAGTAATGCATCTCTCTCTGTATTTCCTGAGAATAAGATTTCAGGTTATCGCGTAAAACTACCTCACGTTGTGAATTTAAATGGTAATTGGGAAGTAGGATTGTATTCAATTACATATCCTCATACATGGTACACGTTGAAAAAAGGTTTGGATACACATATATATGTAACTCACAAAACAGGTCTACCTACTCCGGTATTTGTCGACTATGGCTTGTATGAAAAGCCTTCGACCTAGTAAAATCAGTTAACGAGACTCTTGACAAAGAAGTAAAAGACAATATCAAATTGAGCTTTGACCCGCGAACAGAAAAATTAAAGTGCATGTAAGACAGGGTTACAAAATATCATTTAATCAACGAATGTCGGTCTTACTCGGCTTTGGCGGAAAAGACGTAGAGATTTTCAAAACAACCGAAAGTCCTTATGCTTGTGATTTGCACGGATCCGTCATGATGTATGTATATTGCAACATTGTACAACCGCAAGTTGTTGGAGACGTCAATGTAAAATTACTAAAGGCAGTTGCTATTCAAGGAAAATATGGAGACATTGTTTCAAGAACATTCACTAATATCCAATACTTACCCGTGCAAACAAAATCTTTTGAGGACATCGAAATTCTCTTAAGGGACGAGTTAGGAAATCCCATCGCATTTGAACGAGGGAAGTCGATAGTGACACTTCATTTCAGAAAACAATCCTTATCTTATTTTACATAAGAAAAAATATGAGTAGAACAAACCGTTATGTTCAATATTATCTCAATCAGCAAAAAGGATACGGATCACAACCTGTCTTTAGAGGAGCATCCTGGCAAAAAGGTTATGGGCAGATGGGTTATGGTCTTGGTGGTTTATTTCGTAGATTGGCTAGAGCTGCAATACCTTTGGCAAAAACCGGCGCAAAAGCTCTAGGTAAAATTGCCCTCGATACAGGTGCAAACGTTTTGGGTGATGTTATCTCAGGGAAAAGTTTTAAAAAGTCTGCAAAATCTCGTGTTAATCAAGCAGCAAAGAAACAGGGAAAAAGCTGTAAACCGTATACAACAGTTTGCTCAAACAGGAAGAGGAAAACCCCAGAAGAAACAGGAAAAAAACAGCTAAAAGAGAAAAGCATCGTCTTCTCATGTCATTTACCATTCAGCCAAGAGACATAAAGCAGCTAAAGAAGCAGAAGATATTTTCGGTTAAATATGGAGTTCGTTCATCCAAAATCAGCAGAATGTACAAAAGTGAACTTGATATATTTTTCGTACCCCAACGCAAACCAGTTTGGAAAAGGGGCGATGGATAGACCATCCACCTGTCTCTAGTGTATCTGAAAGCGGTCCGATTACCTTTTTAGCGCCAGGTACAGAAGATTATGTTGACTTGTCTAACACAATGTTGATGGTCAGAGCAAAAGTAACGAAAGCTGACGGTGGAAATCTCGACGATGGCGCTAAAGTAGGACCGGTGAACAATTTCTTGCATAGTTTGTTTAAGCAAGTTGATGTGTTTTGAAAGGGAAGCTAGTAACCCAAGCGACAGGAACTTATCCTTATCGTGCATATATCGATACACTTTTGAATTATGGTCCATCAGCTAAACAATCCCAGCTGACAGCTGCGTTGTTTTACAAGGACGAAGCTTCAAAAATGGAGGTTGCCGACCCAGCAAACGCCAGTCCAAACAATGGCTTGAAAACACGAAGTAAGTTTAGTGCGAGAAGTGCAATTGTCGAAATGGGAGGCCCTATATTTTGTGATGTTTTCTTCGGTGAACGCCTCCTGCTTAGCTATGTTGATTTGAAAGTGGTATTGAACCGTACCAGTGACGAGTTTGCCCTAATGGCATCCGAGGACGATGCAGCATTTAAAGTGAAACTGGTGGATGTTTATCTAAAAGTTCGCAAAGTTAAAGTGAATCCTAGTAGAGCTATGTCTCACGAAGTTGCACTGAAAAAAAGCCCAGCCGTTTACCCTGTAAGGCGTGTGGACTGCAAAAGTTTCATCATTCCATCAGGAAACCCATCGTTGCAAAAAGATAATCTTTTCAACGGTTTGGTACCGAAATCACTTGTCGTCGGACTTGTTGCAAGTGCTGCATTCAATGGTGCTTATAAATTAAACCCATTCAATTTCCAGCATTTCAACGTTTCATCCTTAGGCATTTCTGTAAACGGCGAATCTCTACCATCTAAGCCTTTCAAGCTGTCGTTTGGTAACAATCCTAGATACATAGAAGCATTTCTATCACAATTTGCTGGCACTGGAAAAATGTTTTTGAACGCCGGAAATGGAATTGATCGTGACGAGTTTCTAAAGGGTTTTGCTTTGTACTGTTTTGATTTGACGCCTGATATGTGTGGTACGGGAGAACATTTTAATACAGTGCAAAAAGGAAATCTTGCCATTGACATACAATTCTCAACAGCACCAACTAATGCTGTTAGTCTTGTGTGCTATGGAGAGTTTGAAAACGTGATCTTTATCGATTCTGAGAGGAATGTTGTCTATGACTACATTGGTTAAATGAACACCTCACAAATATCGTCTGCTTTGAGATCGGATCCTGTTACAAGCAAGAAATTTCTTGGTGTTTTTCCAGCCAATCGTTTACCTAAAGTAATCAAAAGTTATCCGAATGGGTTTATAGCAAACACCGATATCAGCGGAAAACCTGGAAGTCATTGGGTTGCATTTTACTTTCCGTCTGAACGAAAAGCCGAATTCTTCGACAGCTATGGCCAGTCGCCTGAGACTTATCATAAATTCTTTAGAGACTATTTGAAACATTATGATTGGGATTTTAATGCACGCAAATTACAAAGTATTTGGACCAATGTATGTGGACAATATTGTATATTTTACCTAAGCCAAAGAGTGCGAGGTCATAGTATGAGTAGAATTGTAAGCATGTTTGATGGTAATACTGTTGAAAACGATAAGAAGGTATCGAATTTTGTAAACAAACATTTTCAAGTAGAAACTAGTGTAATCCCTAACGACGGAAATCAGTCAAGTACAAACTTATTTGTAAAAGATTGAAGTGTTTAATAATGAATAAAAAGTTCTTTGTGTGACTTAATTGCTTGCATTTTGTATTTACATATTTTCATTGACAACAAAGAGGAAAATGATATCAACTGCGATTTTTATTTAAAGAAAAAATCCTTTACAAGACATATTAATAGCTTAACCAACGTAATTGAGTTTTCTTGTGTGTAGTGGAAGCTTTGGGCGTTATGAATTTCGTTTTTGATGAACTAGGATAAACTGTTTCGTTTTCTTCACGTGGTGAAGTTTCCATTTGAGCCTCCTTCCATCTCATATCGTTCCTAACCAAATCTCGAGGAATGTTTATTTTTGATAAAACACGAAAGAATTCTTTAGACCCTTTAGGATTGAATTTTTCCTTCCTCTCACAGCATCGCTAATTAGATCTGTTATGTTTGATTGCGGAATGGTGACTCCCTCAAGTTTGACTTGTCCAGAACCGTCCCAAGATATTATACTTGGCTGTGTTCTAAGGCGCTGCAATATTGCTTTCGCCCGCTCACGCATAGTTTTTGGCACACTTTGTACAATGACAGAGTCAGCTAATGTCTGATTTTCGTTGTCACTTATTATGTTTTTTTCATTCCCATCAACAGTGTCCACCACACGTACCATGGGTATCTGATTATCTTTCTGTTGCTTCAATTTAAGGAATTGTTCAAAGTTTGCGTTAAAAAGTTTTTGTCTTTGATCGTCACTCATGTCGTCTTGTTGAAGAATATGAGAGCTGCGAGTCTTTATTCATCATATTCATCATGATCGGACTAGTTTCAAGTTTTTGTTGTTTTTCGTATCTGTTAAATACATCTTCAGGTACAAGAATCATACGCTTGGCATGCTTCATTTTGTCAACAAACTACCTAGCACTGTCAAAACCGGAGGTAGTAACGCAGTCAGCAGATTTCCTCCTTTTTGATTTAAAAGTTTTTTCTTCTTTGCTCGTGAGATTTTTTTGTTAGCTAGAGCTCTCAGGTGTTTCTTGTACCTTGACAACACTCGCTTTTGACTGGCAGATACTGGAACAGTTCCTTTTAAAACATTGATAGCACATTCACATATGCACACAATAACGTCGGAGGGTCCATGCTCAATTATCACCTTTCGAACTTTTGGTTTAGATTTTGCGAGTACTTGCAAATACGCAAGATTGTTCCTAATTCGCTTAGACATAGTGCTTAAATGATTGTTGATGTCCATGATTATCGCTTTTGTACATACACAATGTGCTTTTCATCAGGCAGGATATTTGTTCTGACACGCATATTGTCAGGTGTTAATTGATGTAAATCGAGCATGAGATAACCGTATGCACGACTCGTAGCGTCTTGAAACGACTCCAAAATGTAGTTGACATTTTTAGGGTACATTTGACGGGCCAAAGTTGAAATACCTAGAGAATCTCTCGGGTTTTTAAAAATGATCATATAATGGGAGTTAAGGCTTATCGTTCTTGATTGTTTACCCGGAGGGAATAAATTTTGCGTTAAATACATGACAGATATCCCCGATGATGTGACCCACGGGTGAATAAATCAGACATTCGTTGATCATTAGAACATTCTGACATAAGATCGTCTACAATGACTAAAGAGTTTTGACATCCTTCCAAAATATCGGTCAAGTTGTCAGGGAACCCTTCAACAAAAATTACATTCGGTATCCTTTTAACCATTTCGTCAAATTCCATCTGAGGTTCGCCATAGCAGTAAATGATTTTATTTGGAACTGGGTGAAACAACTGGGTCAAATTATAAAGCATCGACCTAACGAGATGACTCTTACCAGATTGGCTTTGCCCGCAAATGTAAAAGTTAGCTGGTGTTTTAAAACGCACGTCCATTGTCTTGCAAATGAAAACAGAATTATTTTACAACAGACTATATACCATCATGCATATATCAATTAAATATACTCTATAAACAAGTTAAATACTTAATCAACAAGAAGCTGATTGGATGCTCTGCTCTAAAACACTGAGCACATAATCAATCGCAAACATTTTCTTTCATCAATTGATTAGTTAATCATGTCGTTCACATGGCAAAACGTTGTGAAAAGTTGGGTTTCTTCAACTCAAGGAAGCAATAGTCAACATTGTATAACAGACTTGATAAGGCATTTGGCATATGCCAATATTATTCCAACTAGAATTATGAACAGTCAAAGCCTTCACATCATTCTATTGGCACAAATAATGTTAGAAACCTTGGATCGTGTCTCAGTACCAAAAGCAATGCAACATCCAACATACTTCGTTTATCGTGCAAATGCAAAAGAAGTAATGGTCCACGACCTTCAAGATAGAATTGCGAAAAATATCAAACAATTGGAGAATGATGAGGGTGTAAATATTCATCATTATTATAAATTGAACATTGAAAATATGATGGACATGGATTAACTACTTTTTAAATGTATCTTTGAAAATATTAATACGATGTCAATAAGCATTAAATTGATAATTACTATTAAACCTTCGATAAAAAGAAACGTTATTTTCATCTTCAGACATTTCAATGTCATTTATAAATGTTTTATCATATTCGTTCTCTGATTCAAAATCCATATCTTCCTCGTCGTCAGTTTCCAATAAACTAATATCGTTTGCGTTTTCTTCATTCTCAAAAATCATGTCACCGTCATCACCATCCTTAACAACATCTTTATACACCAAAACGTCTTCCATTTCTTCATCACTACATGTCCCATCGTTAGCTTTGTCATCAACACAGCTATGATTTACTCTACACCCTAATGTCGTGGGCTGTACCATTGTATAAAGCATTGAATCTGGAAGACGTATAATGGGCTTTACAGACGGACTAGCAGAGTTAGACGCTGGTGACCAATAATATCCGTAAGGTATTGTGTCTTCACCAGAGTTGTCAATTATTCTTTTGTCGTAGACGATCTGATATTGCTTTACTTCTTTCTTGTTGACAAGCCGACGGGTCCGTTTTTCTCGTGTTATTTTACTGTTATTTACAACATCTATTTTATTTTTCTTATTTTCGTCATCTGAACGTACATAGTTACAAACCATTTCATACATAGAATCAAAATTAAGAATTTGGCTATTTTTAAAATTCAAAGTAAAACCTCGTATCTTACAAAGTTTTTTCCCATTATTTACAACGTACGCATAATTTTTTGGACCCCCACATGCAAATCTTGTAATGTAACTACCTACCCCATGTTCTTGAGTGATTTCGTTTGTTAAATTACCCAGGTAATCCCCTAAGAGTGGCCTTGAACCCCCCGGTTTATTTACATAAATACAACTGTCCGTATCGCAATATAAAAGGTTACCTTGTAACAGATCCATCACATTGTAAAGTTCTAATCTAGCCCATGCAGTTGTAAAAATTCCTATGAAGATATTTGTTAGTTTGTTTTCTACTTCATACTCATGCTTTCTCTTAAAGACAATTTCGACTAAATCATCATTCAAGATGCAGAGATCGTGAATTTCAATGTCGGCCCCGTTCAAACGTCTGTAGAAATGTAGAGGATCATTAATGAATTCTGTATTTAGTCGATTGTCTTTTTGACAAAATTTACCCCACAAGCTGTTAAGGCATAGCTTAGCCAATGCTCTTAAGCCTGGATTGTAATCTATTTTATCATGCCTTAACAGTATTCCCTCGTTTTCATAATAGTCGGCCACGTATTTCTGTCTGTCCTCAGGAGTTTGTATACGACTCGGAAATCCTGAACTCTCTTGCTTTATACGGAGAAAATAATTCGCATAATCCGAAAACAAATCCGAGCTTGTGTTTTCAAAGTGCCAAATTTCAAAAATTTCAATAACCTTATATCCTTTTTCGATAGCTTTCAACACTTCAACTGTGGTAAAAGTACCCCAAAAAGCACGCTCATTTTCCGAATGAGTACACACTGAAGAGTTTTGTACAACACACTGTTTACATAAAGGAAAAAAGAGTTTATCTTTTATTCGTGCAGGTAAAATTGGAAGATACAAATTTCTGGGTGCTAAAACGTTGCATTTTATTAGTCCGAAATAATTCGAAATTGTTTCAAAATTCTCGCGAATAATTGTTGGATGACCTATAGGATAAACTTTTGTTTTGTTAACGTAAGGATACGAGGTAAAATCAACATATTCAATTGTTTCATCTTTTTGGGCGTCCCTAAATAGCTTAAACCCATTGACTCTGCCACCAAAAAACGCATCGCGTGGTTCAAGATTTGTTATAATGTCATTTTTATCCAAAAAATGTTTCATTTCGTCCGTTTCCTTAAGTTTGCAATAGTCATGTTCCCAAATCGTCTTAACCTCGTGACCCAAATGTAAAAGTCTATTTTGTCGTCTAATTGTTTCATCAAATACGTCAGCCATCTGTTTCTCATTAAAAAAGGGATGATCGTTTCTTAAATCGTAACAAGATGGGCATGCATGATAAAGACAACCATAAAAAGAAAATATAGTGTCTGTGTCTTCACAAAAGCCGTCGACATAATACACTTTACCTAATTCCGGATCTTCAACTTTTTTTTCTCCGCCATTGAGAGCGTGTTGTATTTTGCAGTTAGTTTGCGCAGATACAAATTCAAGCCACACGATTGCGCTTTGAGAGAAGGGTTTATTTGAATTTCGATACATATTTTTCGGTACGATTCCGATTGTGTTCGGTTGAAGATATTTTGACCGATAAATTGCCATTACGGCTGCTGCAATGGTACAATAACAGAATGGATCAACTTTAGTCTCTGCGAGAAATAAATCCCTAAATTGCAAACAACATAAACGCAGTATGGTAACGTCTTGAGAGCAGTACTTAGCCATTTCCTTTTGGAAATCAAAGACAAAGTTATTTTTCTTTCGTTCTTCATGCCACGCAATCAATTTAGTGCGATCTTTTTCGAACTTTGAATCAGGACTGTAATATTTGATATCAGGTATCGGGCCAATATAATTTTGATTTTCTATTGTATTAAACAAAAACGGAAAGTCACCTTTGGAAAATTTTGTTTCATCGAGTCCAAATGTTTTAGGAAATTTAGCTAAAGGCATTTGTAAAAAGTTCAGCGAGTCAATTAAACGGATTTGATAATCTTTCACTGTCAGTTGCATAATTTTCTTTCCCGAATCAATAACATGTATATCTGCAGTCGGTCTGTATTCAATTAACCATCTCTGAATGAAAACACCGTCAAATGACTTAGCATTATGGGCAATTGCTGTAAAACCTTTATGTTCTCTTGAAAATAAGGAACAAAACTCGTTCAATGCGTTGTAACCCTTGAAAACAAATTCTGTACCGTCTAAATATTGTGCAACAGCAAAATTAACCACATGTTCTCCGGTTGAAAAATCTGTCTCAAAATCGTAAAATATTAGACTATCATTCTTGGGTTTTGGGTTTTCCGTTTGCATGAAACATAAATGATCATCAAGTACAAACTTATTGCATATATGACATACAGTTTCCCCACAGCGATGTTCGTTTTGTCTGTCTTTGTCAACTATAGATGAACACATTTGACATCGAAACGACTTGTCACACATTGATGGCAAGTCAACCCCTTTGGACCGACGCGATTTTTTATGACGATTAAAACATGCAGTAGAGCGACAAATCTTGAAACAATCCGAACACATATGTTTTTCATCTGAAATCTCAACGCAGTCTTTTTGTCTGCACGTTTTACAGACATTATAACAAGGGTGATTTAAACCATTTTTGAAGAACTGAAAGCATTTGTCACAGTAGAAACGTTCACCGTGGAAAGCCGGAAGTTTCGCAGGGTTAATAACATTGTAATGATCACCTTGTTTGTATAAAATAAGCTTTTTATTTTTTGGGGGTCCCTCGTAAATGACTGTATTTCGAGCATTAAAATCAATAACCTGAATTTGATAATCTAATAGAACCCCTTGAAACTTCGACAACTCCCGTAGTCCACAAGGTCCATAGGAAATATTGGCCTTCTTGTATAATTTCAAAGCTTCTCGCTTCTGAATAGCTTTACCCTGCTTAAATTGTTTGAGTTTCGGATTCTTGTCCGCTATGGCCTTTGCAACAACAAGAGCGCGAGCACAGCAGAAATTATCCTTATTTCGTATAGTAATAATTGACTTTTTAACTAGGCTGTCTTTGCTATAATCTAAGACTTTTAATGAAGTAGAATGTTTTTTACCGGACCCTGTCGGCTGTCTTACAGCAACAACATCAACAGTAAACGACTGATCCAAAGGGATATTTTCATTACTCTGCAAAACTTTTGTTATTTCGGACATCACCCGGTTTGAAGTCATTTGAATTGCAGGCAACAGTTGCGTGCTTATGGGGGACTTGAGTTCACTCGAGCGGATCATGATTCGCATTCTGTCTTCTAGAGGTGTGACTAAATCACACGCCTTCTTTACCTGCGTGCAGAAAAAGAACATTTTCTTGATTTAAGCTATGTGAGGGAAAAGCATGAAAATAGAGAAGTATTTTTTTTTTACCTGATCAATTGTATTGGCAAAAAGTTCGTGTAATTCCTTAGCAATATCTTTAATCTTGTACACTTTATCATCTCTAGGTCTTTCCATCGTAGCCCTGAAAACACACGCTGATGCACCAAACTTTTTCACGTGTTTTTCGGATATCTTCTCCATATTGAAGTGTATTGTGTCTGCGGAGAGATCAGCCAAACGGTCATCTATTTTTTTCAGCAGCTTGAACTTTTGTTCTAGTAGCTTGGCAGTTTTTTCTTGCCAACGTAAGACTTTGCGTAAGTCCGATTTAGGCTTAGCCAATTCTTTCTGGATTTTTCTTATAAGACGTTTTGCTTTCGCATTTTTACGCTCAGCACGTTTCTTCAAACGTAGGTCATATGAATCCATATCAAAACAAATTAAGAAACTACTATTGATCACTCTTGGTAAAGTTGACCTGATATAATATATATGTGTATGCATGGTTTGGATTATCATTCTGTCTGTGGATGACTTTGAAATAAATCGAAAATTTACAGTTCACTTCGCGTTTTGTTTTCATTCACATTTTTTCATCTCAAGATATCTTGTTTCTTCAGAATTTGTTTTTTACTTAACTCTTAAAGAGTACTCTATAGTCATATTTATGTCAATGTGGTAATGTATGTTATTGCAATCAGACTAAGTTACACAACATATTTGCAATAAGAATTTTCTTTTAATGAAGTTTTGAGAAAAAAAACAATATATAATCTTTTTGTATTTCTGATAAAGATTACTAAATGACAAAAATAACAAATATTTAAAATTTATTTTCTCGTAAGGTTTATTGTACAGTTGCTGCAATTGTTTAGCACGTTTTTGACTGGTAGGTTTGCTTCTTTACAGTTCTTGGCAACATGGCCCAATCTTTTGCATATGTAGCAACGTCTTCCTGTTAAATATTTATAAGGAAGTTGCAGTTCATGACACTTTTTATTTATTTGTGTCATTAGCTTATTTCTGTTAACAATAATGCATGCAACTTGAAGTTTTCAACCATCTAATCAAGCTGATGTTTTATCAATAGGTCAATCAAACTTACTTCTTCTCATACGATTAAACTCTATACAAAAAAAAAGTATATAATTGTCAATTACAATGGTCATGAAAGAAATGTTATTTCATTTTTTGTCATTACTTTTCTCGCATTCATTCATTTTGTGGCCTTTGTGGCCACAATTATAGCATCTTCCTTCATTAAAAAAAAAACAATGGCAATTATCAGCCTGGCATCAAAGGCAATTAGTACATGTATACACTATACCACACCTTTAAATGAATTTTTTGCTTTGGCATTGCTTTCTACATAAACAAATCATTTGTTAGGTGCTGTTTGATTTGTTATGTGTATGATTAAATTTCAGGTTAAAAGACTCATGGTGAAAAGACTCATGGTGAAAGACTCAGGTGAAAAGACTCATGGTGAAAGACTCAGGTGAAAAGACTCATGGTGAAAGACTCAGGTGAAAAGACTCATGGTGAAAGACTCAGGTGAAAAGACTCAGGTGAAAAGATTCAGGTGAAAAGACTCAGGTGAAAAGACAAAAGTATCATGAGAGAGCTGATGGGCATATATCATATATGAACGAGAACAGTATTGTATACAAAGCACTGTTTACCTTCTTTATTTTTTTGGTTTTCAGAATTGTAGCCACCTCAAATAGTAGTAGATTTTTAGCACATTTTGATGCATTGATGTATTGTGTAATAATGCAAAAAACAATCATTAAACAGTATAACCATTTTTGGCTAAATACACACTTGCATTTTCGTTATCTTTCTCTTCAGTTCCCTGACCTGTTTGAATGCAATTGAACTATTTGAGTGATTTTCAGTTTTCAAAACAAAAACAAATTTTATACACATTTGATGCCAGTGTCCATTGCTTTTTCCTCATCTGTATAATCTAGCATCTGGTGTTTTTGTATGCAAAAAAACGATAAAGTGTAAATAGATATTTTGCAAGAAGGGATTTAAACCATGTAAATGAATCACTTTTTGTTTACTTCCATGCTGAAAGCTTCTTATGAAGCTTTTTAGATCAGAAATTATTAAATTATTGATCTGTACTAACCTCTTTTTCATCCATGGACCACAATAGACAGTTGGCAAATACAATAAAAACAAGAAATAAGCAAAGGAAAATTTAGACAAGTTTTAAAAATATTTATAGTTTTTTAAAAAAAAAGCGGGAAAAAAATGCAAATGACAAACGCCAATGCTGTATTCTGATTGGTTAACAAATCAAACTTTTTTTTAACCATGAAGAACTAAATATTGCATTGAATTTTAAAGTTTTTTATAGTTTGTAAGAGATGATTCCCATGATAATATACATGTAAATTTAGCGTGCACAAATCGTAAATTGCTGTATCAGTAACGTTGAAACAGGGGTGCAAATCCTGGAGAGGGGATTGATATGTGGTGGCTCAGCCTCTCCCCTTCAAAAAGGTAGCAGTTTTGTTGAGCAAAGCATGTAATTTTTCGGAAATTAAAACGGCAAATATTAGCGATGACGTTTGGATCAACTCATAACTAAGTAAAAAGCGATTTTGCTGGTATTAACATACAAAATTACACTACGTTATTCCTGGGCAAATCAAATTCTGCAACGTTTCTCCCCTCTCCATTCTCAGGACTCAAGTCACACCCCTGCATTCAAGTAACATTCTTCTAAATTTTTTTTCAAGTTATTCGAAGTTTAACCATTGGCTTTTTACAACTCAAGAAACTATATAAACAATGTGAACTCATTGAACTATAGGGTACAAAAAAATGTTAAAGATAAAATGTTACGCATCACGAACGTTGTTCAAGGACTTCCGCATTCAGATCATCCCGGCAATATTCATAATGTCACCTGTAAGTTAAACACGTGCGTTTAATATTGAGTAACGTTTATTTTTAAAAGAACGTTAACAATTCATTTATCAATTGACAGACTGGTTTAATTTTGAAAAAAGCACTTACTACAACGCTCGATCTGATTGAAAGTGCTATCAATGTTACGACCACAAAATAGTTTTCTTATGTCGTCCAATTGGGCTGTTTTGTTGAGTATTTTTTTCTCTATAAAAAATAGTTCAAAATGAAGATTGTGCTATTGTTGTTCTATATTGTACTATGTTGTAGAGGAATACTCACATAGAAGACTTGCATTTCGAATTACTTCTCATTCTTTTTAATTGTTTAGTTACGTAAACTAGGTTATAATTTCATGTTACATTTTTAAGCCTCGAACACAAATGTGCAGGCACCATTAAATTTCTCCTAGAAACACATATTGCTATATGCCAGGAAAGTGCTATCAATGTTAGGACCACAAAATAGTTTTCTTATGTCGTCCAATTGGGCTGTTTTGTTGAGTATTTTTTTCTCTATAAAAAATAGTTCAAAATGAATATTGTACTATTGTTGTTCTATATTGTACTATGTTGTAGAGGAATACTCACATAGAAGACTTGCATTTCGAATTACTTTTCATTCTTTTTAATTGTTTAGTTACGTAAACTAGGTTATAATTTCATGTTGCAATATTAAGCCTCGAACACAAATGTGCAGGAAACATTACATTTCTTGTCGAAACACGTATTGCTATGTGCCAGGAAAGTGCTATCAATGTTAGGACCACAAAATAGTTTTCTTATGTCGTCCAATTGGGCTGTTTTGTTGAGTATTTTTTTCTGTATAAAAAAAATAGTTCAAAATGAATATTGTGCTATTGTTGTTCTATATTCTACTATGTTGTAGAGGAATACTCACATAGAAGACTTGCATTTCGAATTACTTCTCATTCTTTTTAATTGTTTAGTTACGTAAACTAGGTTATAATTTCATGTTACATTTTTAAGCCTCGAACACATATGTGCAGGCACCATTAAATTTCTCCTCGAAACACATATTGCTATGTGCCAGGACGCCTACAGCCTCAAAAAAATGGAATAGTCAAATGAAAAATTCCATTTCTAGGCACAGGCAAAGCCTCGAAAACACAATAGTGTCCAGGCAACGTTCAATCTACTGATGATTGAACAACACAAGCTTAGACAGCTTTTTACGAATTTTCTGACCATGCAACTTATCGTTTTGCGTTTTGGTCAAGTGATGCATTCTTATTTTCACAAATGCCTCAGCACAACACTTTATCAGTTTATAAGCATGATTATCTGTAACGGTCGACTCTAACACATGCTCATCTAACATACTAAAAACTTTTTTCTCTACACACACAGATAATACCGTCGCAGCAATTGCACTCGATATGTTTGCTGCTGCATGTGGCAAGCCACCATGGCAGGAATTTACCATCCTCATTACACATTTCTCTGTTTCCTGACACACTTTCAGAAGATCGTCAGTTGGTATTTTTAAACCACCGTTGCTCTTCCATGCCACAAATAGTTCTGGTGCTCTTTCTTTAGATGATGTCAGAGCATCCATACAATCATCACAATGGATCTTCCTTTTCACCATTTTTGCGACATACCCAGCTATATACGATATTGCTGCTTCCTTGTAGTCTGAAAGCTGAATGTAGTTTGAGGTGTCGCTGTAATCGTGGTCAGTTTGTTCTGGCCCACGCAGTTCTAGATCGTATCTTCTTGCAGTATTTACATCGGAAATATCTGCCGACATTTGTTCACTCTCACACCGATCTTCTAGTCTACTTAGAATTTCGGTACCATCCTGAGCAACACAATTTCCATGACCTCCTTTAATGTTATGTCGCATCAACAACTGCTTGTACGCTGCTTTGAACTGTCGAGATGTCGGGTTGTTGTTCCAACCTCCTGACGCTCGCACAGCTGAAAAAAACAATTCTAAATGATCTTGACTTGTCTTATCAGTAAGGAAATATTTAAGGGGAGAATTTTCACTTATAACAAGATCCTCAGCAAGCCCTTGCACTGCTTCAATGCACAACAGAAACCCCAAGAATCCTGTTTTCCTCTTATGGGAAAAAATCGACTTTCCATCAGCACCCTTCAGATTTAAGACGTATTGCCTTGCTTCATCCAAGAAGGTTTTTATCAGCTTGTAATTCGCTTTCCTTATTGGTGCTTTGTAATTTTTAGCAATTGGATTCCTGGAATTCAAAACGTCAAACAAGCGATCAAATACTCGAATGAATTTGACTGTTTTATCACACCCTTTAAACTGTGGAAGTTTGAGCTTACCTTCACAGAACTCTAAAGCATCTGCAACACTCGAGATGAGTGCTTGCACTGCTAAATTTACCTTCATTTTCTGTGGCTTCCAGTTTATGTGAGCTTTCTTTAGTTTGTTGGCAAGTCGCAAGCCTTCTGATGCTTGCAGTTTTTCTAGCTCAACTAAGTATTGCCATCTTACCAAACCATCTTTTTCATCCTTCAGAGTTCTCAATTCAGAAATTGCTCCTCTGACAAGCTTGATCATATGACAAGGATCTAAAAATGCATAAATTTTCAACATTAAATCAGATGGATGTAAAAAATATGCTTGGAAATCATTAAGTGAAAGTTTCACTCCAAGCAACTTCATCATTGCAAGATGTGTGGATGGACCATCACACGTTAAACTTCCAACTTTAACACCAACATCATGCAACTGCATCAAACACTCCTTGGTTAAATTTGCTTTTACTTCTGCAGTGAGGCCATCTACCAAGAAGTAACCAACTGGTACTTTCCAAGATGAATCTAGAGCAACAGCCATGTATACCAAAACTTCTGTTGCTTCAGGGAGTGAATCATCGTCAATCCCAGTACCAAGGTCAACATAACCACAAACTTTTTGACCATCCCATTCTACGTGTTTGCGGATTGACATTTCATCCAGCATCAATGCACATATGACTTCCGTGCCATCTTTCTTTGATTCTTGAACCTTCACTTTCAAAGCATTCAAGGCATCCTTGGTGAAACCAGGGTCACCATCCACGGAATTATACCAAGATCGAATTACTCTTGGGTGAGGTAAGGCTAAATTAAACTTCTCACGAACATAATCATAAGCCTTAGGCGAGTAAAATTTCAAAGTTAGTGCAAAAGCTTGCAATTCTGGGGGGTATTGAGCACCTTTTTTACCCTGAGTGTTTGCCACTAAACGACTCAAAATATCTTCAGGAACCCCAGTTAGTGAAGCATTAAGAAGTTCAGCTTGATCAGAGCTGATCATTTTATCATCTTTAAGGCAATCAATGATTGACAATAAATCATTTACCTTTTTTTTCAGTCTACTTTTTTCCATATTAGACACTTTTAACCTCTTTCTATAATACTCTGCCCGGTCTATAACATCTTCCAATTGTCTTTTCAGTCTCCTGGGAGACTTAAGACAATACGAGTGATCATGAGTAGAGAAATGACCACTCACCTTTTCAGTGCTCTTCGTACATTCAACATCCTTCACCTGTTGAAATAATGTGGGCACGGCACTATCTTCTAGACACACTTTGTTACCTGATATTCTCTTCATGCTATCGGAAAAATGATCTGAGCAAACTCTGCTCCACTTAGTTAGAACTGTGAGAGGCGACCATTTCTTTATACTATTTACCCATTCCAAAAAAAGTGCTGGGTTTTTTTCTTCGTCAGGAAAACTATTTGAAATAGATTAGTAAATTTATTCTTTCATGCGTTGATTCAACAAATAAATAAACAAATTTGTTGAATTTTTTAAAAAACACACAGGAAAACATCAGTGTATGCAGTATTTAAGACAATGTTTTTTCATAAGGCCTAACAGATTTTGGGGCTTTCAATTGTATAAATGCCGATTCAATCTTTCAGGAACAAACAAAATAAGCGAATAACTCACCTGTGAAAAGCGATGTGCTTCGCGTTGTCAATATTACGACATTCTACAATTGAACATCGATTAGGCATTTTTGAAAAAAATATTGTTTTGGCCTTGAAAAATATTGTTTATTTATCATACAGCTTGCAATTGCATTTGAAATTTTCAACTGAAGGCGGGAAAATCAATAACATCAATCCGGGGGAGGTCGAGAATATTATTTTTCTGCAAAGCGATCATTTCAGCGGAAATACGTCCGTTGGCCGCCATTTTTTTGGCATCCTCGCCCCAGTAAAGTTAGCCCCTCCAGTTATTATAGAACTCAATGGTGCAACTACGCAGTAGCGGATTTCGGGGTAGTCACAGCGAGCAGCAGCGAGCAAAATAAATTAAAGCTGCTTAATTTTAAATTCAAAGTACTTTCAGAAAAGCACTAATGGTTTCACAAGTACGCCTTTCAAATGAAATAATGAGGGTGTTGAATGAAGAGGTTGACCCAGTCTCTGAATCTACAACATTTGGTGTTGGTCTCTATCGCACTGCTTCGAGCCATGTTGAAAATATGCTATTGCATTAAGTTGTTAAAAAGTGGTTGCTGCTGCTTTATTGTTTAAGAATGAAAACTTGGAAAGTTTGAGATGTATGCTCACATCAACTTCAGTGGCGTAGCTAGAGGTCATGCTTGTCATGCTGACTTACTTTTTCGGCAATTTTGATTTTTTTCGATAATTAATTCTTTGATTTGTCTGTAAGACGTAGCTTTTGGTTTGCAGGCTTTTACAATAAAGTGCATGGAAGAAATGCGCTTGAGTTTTTGGACTACGCGTTGTGTTACGCAAAAAAGCCCGCAATTAGGGAAAACCTTAGCCACCTGAGCGCTGGATACGTTGCTTATTGATGACGTTTGAAACTCCTGCTTTCCACTTGAGAGCATGACTCCTTCGAAAATACGCTTCTTTGATTGGCCAAATTAGGCTAAGTTCTTGCATACTTCCGCCAAAAGTCATGCGGAAGTCATGCCATGAACTCATCGCAGGAGTTTGATTGTTTTGACGATACGCTATTATACGATCATATAATTACTTCGATTGTTTATTTCGGTCATGGAAGGAGTTGAGCAAAATCAATCGACGATTTCCTTTTCCTCCTTTGATGGTCAGGATATAGTAGCAGAGCTGGTAGAGAGATCGTTTTCCTCACGAAATATTAGTGAGCTGAAACAAATAGCTCGCATGTCAAGGCCGATACCGAAGCTTGCACTAAAGACGAATGATAGGAGCTTTCAAGAAAGTTGGTATTCGAACAAGGACTGGCTGTGTGGTAGTGTGAGGAAGAATAGATTGTTTTGCTGGCCATGTCTTTTGTTTCATTCTTCCCCTAGAAAGTCTCCATGGGCTTCAACAGGCTATCATAACATGCATAGTTTTAGTGGTGACAGCATAAAACTCGAGAAAACAAAATCTCACATGGAGGCATACAAACAGTGGAGGTTATTTGATTCGAGGGAGAGTGTTGATGTTTTGTTTTCGAGAGCTCGGCGAGAAGCAGTAGAGAGGCACAATGAGGAGGTAAGGCAAAACAGAGAGATGCTAAAAAATATTGGGGAGGCAGTTTTATATCTTGCCAAACAGGAATTAGCATTTAGAGGACATGATTAGAGCAGGGCTAGTCTTAACCAGGGTAATTATAGAGAATTACTAAAATGCTTTGGAAAATTGGATTCTGTTTTTGACCGTCGTTTGCAAGGTAGACTGCAAGGTACAGAGAGAGTGGATGAAGGTGGAGTTTTTACTGGGGTTTCAGCTGATGTCCAAAATGATTTAATTGAGTGTATTGACTCAGTCATTCAGGATCAGATTGATGATGAAATGAAAGAGTGTCAGTTTTTTGGCATTCAAGTTGATGAAACAACTGATGTTACAGCAAAAGCACAACTCAGTGCCATTATTCGACTAGATAAAGGGAGTGAAATTGTGGAAAGATTTTTAAAATTTAGAAATGTTAGTACCAACCGAAGTGCACAAGGTATTAGTGATATAGTTAAAGGCATCTTAGAGAGATATGGAGAAGCTGTAATACCTAAATTAGTGATGCAGACTTATGATGGGGCATCTGTGATGAGTGGTCATCTAAATGGTTTACAGGCCCTATGCTTATTTTTTCATTGTGCAGCACATAGGCTTAATTTGGTTTTATGTCAATCTGCTTTGAAAATTAAGGAGGTGAAAATATTTTTTGCTAATGTTTCTGCATTTTCCACCTTTACAAATTCCAGTCCTGAAAGAAAATCCCATTTGAAATCTCATGGGGTTGATATACCTGCTCCAGGGGAAACTAGGTGGTATTTCAAATCTCGAGCTGTGTCTGCTATTTTTAATAATTATGATACACTAGTGAAAGCCTTTACAGAGATAAGTGAAAATCCTTGGAAATGGACTGATGAAACAAGTACACGTACTGATGGCCTCCTCCACTACCTTGAATCATTTCTTTTTTGTTTCCTTTTACTACTTTACTACCAAATCTTGGAGAGATCAGCCATTTTATATGATATTCTACAAAATAGGTCTACTGATTATGCATTTGGCATGAGAAAAATTGAAGAATTTGGTAATTTTCTAATTTCCCTCCGCAATGAAACAGCTTTTGAAATTTGTTATTATGCAACTGAAAGTAAAACTGGTCCTCCATCTCGAAAATCTGAGACAAATATAAATTTTAAACAGCTCTATTACGAAGTCATTGATTGTGTAACAAATATGCTTAAGGAATGATTCACGGATGCAGAGAGCTTTTCATTTCTTGACTTAGTCAATCCTAAACTTTTTGTGCAGTGGAAAACAGCTATTCCTAATGAAAAAATTCAACAACTATCAGTAAAATATGGTCCTCTCTTTAATATACCTAGGCTTCGAAGTCAACTTTTTTTTGTGTACCAAGATAAAGATTTTTTAAAAGATAACTCCATGGAATTATTGAAATACATTTATCACATTGGTATTCACCAGTGTATACCCGAATTTGTTAAATTATTGAAACTTAACGCTGTTATTGCCATTTCTAGTGCTTCAGCTGAAAAATCGTTTTCATGTTTAAATAGGGTGAAAACTTTTTTAAGGAATTCAATGGGGGATGAACGCCTTGGCTCATTATGCAGAATTTCAATTCATAAAGATATTTTAAAAGCAAAAGACGATCAAAAGCAATTACATCCAGCCATCCTGGATAAGTTTATTAAAAAACCTCGCAGACTAAATTTTTCATACAAATGAGTCTGCATGGCTCATTTTTCACTCTCTAATGCCGCTTTAAGCAAACCAAAAACAAATCTTTGAAAATGTATGTTTTTGATAATTAGTTATTGCACTTGATACAACCATTTGTCTCCTCTGAAGCAGATCAGCAATAATCACTAAACCAAATAAACTGCGCTTAAAAAATGTGCTCGATAAAGGTTAAACTTTTCTGGAAAAATTGTGAAATGGTTTTAAAGGGTTGGAAAAAGACCGGGATAAGATGAGAATTGAGCATTTTCATTCTTTAAAAAATGTCCCAGATGGTCTCCCATTTCTAACCAAATTCCTCTTTTCAACTGAGGTGTGAGGGCGAGAATCTGGCGCCTTAAAACCAGACTGCTCATTAAAAAGGCTCTAATGAGGGCTGTCTATGTCGGAATCACATTTTTATACTTCCAGAGTGGATGTGTTGTGTGTTTCCTAGGCATGCTGATGAGCCCTGACATAGGGCGAAACAGTCCAAGACTGAAGGATATTTGAAAAATAAATTTAAACGGTTGTACGAGGCGTGACGTTCCATGTTATAGCTTCGTAAATAAAAACCAAAAAAAGCGTTTTCCGGGAGTTTAATGCATTTAATTTTCAAAATTTTTGACGCTCGGCGCCAACCATGGTGGCGCCTCGTGGGCTGTGCACTAGCGTATGAGCATGACCTTGTTATCTCAACCAGCTTCGCCACTGATCAACTTGCTCAACTGTTACAATGTCTCAATTTTCTTAGAATAGTATCTTTTATTGGTCTTTGTTACAGGAAAAAATAAAGAACCATTCTGTATGGATAACTACTGTAAACAACTCTTTAAGTGCCTTAGTCAGCGAAAATTTTTATTTGCAATATTGAAACCCAAGTGGGCTGTCTAACATATCAATGAAAAAACTATTGAATTTGGTCCATTTGTTCTCTTTTATAGGGGTTAATAATTATCTTTCAATGGACCTTGTCCGTCGTAGAATGGAGTTTGGGTGTAGCTAAATTCTGACATCATCAAATGTAATTGGTATTTATATTTTGTATTGACAAGTCCCTTGCATGACATCACAAATGTAAGTCGTTCCAGACTTTTCTGATGACGAACAAGATCCATCAAAAAGAGTGTTTTTGCCAAGTTTAAACCACTATGTAAATGGTATAGTTAGACCACTTTTAAAAACTTATGTGTAAATTACACCGCATATAAAAATTTTTGCTGACAGGGGCACTTTAAGGTATCATATTACAGGAACAAAATCTAAACAGCCATAATCAACATAACTATTTACTTTACGTATATCAAAAAAAGTTAGTATTTGGCCAAATATTTGTACATACGATTCACTAAATGTTGGATTGCACCATTTCTTAAAATATTAGTGTAGAAATCTTTATCGCGGAAAATGCTATCAAAAATATGGTGGACTGATGTAAATAGTAACTTCAACAGAAGAATAGCCCTCGCTATTTTGTCTGGAAATTGCTTGAGTTACAGCTTGATGATAGGGTGATACTACTTTAGAGGTATGGCTTGATGAACATTGTGGATGGTACACTGTATTTTCAATACCCTTTTCTATTACCAGGTCATCATCGTTAGACATCGTAAGTGCCTCTTGACTCGCATTTAAGCGAACATACTATTTTCCCGGGGCCCGCAGTTCTTTCACCTGAGGAAAGTCCCATTTATGACTAGGTTTGACAACTGGTGTAATGATAGTATTTCTTTCCCTCTTCACAGTCAAATAACTTTGGGCTCATCAATGGAAATTTTTGTTGAAATGTTTCAGAAATTTCTTTTCGTATTTCAGATTCAGTGTAGGTAGTGGAAATATCACAATAGCCTTTAACTAAAATCATAGGATCTGAAATGCTATAATCGGGCACAAGTCCATCATTTCCATTCTCTTTTTCAGGTGGTTCGTCAATCAAATATATGGATTTTATCAAAACTCTCCCTGGTGTTGCTTTTTTGTCTCCTTCTTTTTTTAAAACCGACACGGGTCAGAAGTACACTGGTTGAATGTCTTTTTGGCCAGATTGGATTGTTGACTCTTACTTCTCTCCATGGTTAGGAGTTGAGGTTAATGGACCAATAGGAAGTAGTGTAGATGAACTTGATGGTAATATTTGTCTTTGAGAAGAACTAGGTCTATCAAACTCACGAGACACCGATGTTGTGGCGTTCCCAATAAGGTCTCTCGTTTGCTGTAAGATATTAGTTGTCTCTTGCCTTCCTACCCGTTGCAAGTCGATTTCTTCCCGCACACACTGACGAATAGTGCCTGCAAGCTCTCTGCGATCGGAGCTCGATGAGCTCGAGTCACTGACCTGTATAGTAATTATCTGGACGGGAAACCTCATGAAAATTATTATAGATTATTAAGCGCAACATGTTGTCAAAAACATGGATGCTGCCATACCTTATTTGGATGAAAATACGAGCGGAGTTGCACAGGCTCAGGTTAAGGAAACTTTTTCTCCTCTCCTGATTTCCACCAACAATTTAATATCATTAATATCCATGCGATTATAAAAAAAAATCAAAAGTATAATTACAAACGCAAAATCTTTTTAAAATCTCATCAAAAATACATGCTGAAAACGTGTGTAATATACAGTTGCCGAAGAACTTCCAGAAAAGGAAACATTTCCATGGTTTTATGAGACCGCCGGTAAGCAAGATAATAATGTTTTCATCGTTAAAAATGTTGAGTCTTCAATATTTGTTATTTTGTTTTACTAAACTTGTAGTGTGATAGCATTTATTTGGTTAACGTTTTTTACCACTAACTTATGATTTAATTTATGTTGGTTTTGGTCCAATCATTTATTTATGTAAATGCATGTCATAAGCTTTGAAGTTGCCAATTCTTTTCGAGATGAATTGATTTGACTTATGTAAAATGCATTAAAACGTTTAAAACGGTTCTTTCGCCCGTATTTACTCACACTTACTCACACTTACACTTACACTTACTCACACTTACACTTACTGAGTGGGGTTTCAAAATCATTTCATACAATTATTTGAAGGCGTCAATTTCATCCCACTGATTATTGATTTTAATTATCTAAGAAAAAAACTTGTCGTAGATGGAGAAATGACTTCGCCCTTGTTGAGATAGAGTGTGATTTTTATGTCGAAGTAAATGAGTGTGAGTGAGCTTTTAGACACCCGTTTCCCTCATTCTAAATGGGTATTACTCAGAGTTCTAAACTTTAGAATGCGGAAGATAGCCAAATTAGATTGCTTTCTGTGCTATCTAAAGGCTATGTTTGTCTCTCCAGACCTCCGTACACTGTGAGTGTGGGTGGGACAGACAGAAAAGATGGCGCTTAGTAGGAGCGGCAATCACTGGGTAAAACCATACTTTTTGACTGTGAAGACATACTCTATGAGGCCCCAAACGGGACAATATTCGAACTCATTTTATTTATACGCTTAACTTGAAAAACTTATGCTAAACTTAAAAAATATATGCTAAACTTATAAAATATATGCTAAACTTAAAAAATATATGCTAAACTTTAAAAATATATGCTAGACTTAAAAAATATATGCTAAACTTAAAAAATATATGCTAAACTTAAAAAATATATGCTGAACTTAAAAATATTTGCTAAACTTTAAAAATTGGTTCTAATTAATGCAAATCTATGCATGATAATTTCGCAACTGTTGTCAGGATGTTGACATGCCCGTGTACCGAAGAGTCGGACAAACTGTTTTCGATGCAGAATTTCTTTCGTTTTTACAATCTGTCAAATCAGTAATTGTGGAAGTTCGTGCTGCTTGTAGTACAGCCTCTCAGACTCTAGACCAGTTCGAAGTACTTGAAACTCGTATTGAGGAAATTTGTTCGTCTTTTTCATTGCTAGCAGAAGGAAGAGAATATACATGGACAGTGCAAAGTTTATTCAATGAATTTTTAGTTTATGCAAATCAAATCAAAGATAATATCAGACAAAAGTGTGACATTCTAAGAAACAGCACAGAAGCAGTTGGCACAGGTTATACCTGCCCCTTAACACGCACGGGCAGGAGCAGGGGCGGATCCAGCAATTTTCGTGACTGATGCACCACTGCAAGCGCCAAAGGCGCTAGCTCTGTAGGGGGTCTGGGAAGATACCCCCGGAAAATTTTATATTTTAGACCGTCGGAAATGCGATTTCCTGCGTTTTGACAACAGAATTTAAAAAAAACTTGGCTTTACTTAGTTTGTAAACATTTCGCAAATTTCAATGATATAAAATCTAAAATTCTACTAACCTTTAAACATTTTCATTACTACTTTCAGATTTATCAAGTTTCATACCTTCGCCAAAACTTACAATCAGGAAGGTATCATTCCAATCCACGAGTGATTTAAAAAAGGTAGAAGCATGGCGCATTTTTTGTCGTGAAACGCAAAGAAACCTTTTATATCTCACAAATGAAGCACAAGTTTTTGACCATTAATCACTCTTGATACCACTCGTCCAACAACAACAGAAAAAGATACGTAGACATAGCAAAGAAATGTTCACGATGTAATCATCGTACCAAAGGCAGGCAACAAGTAATGATAAATGTTATTCTTCTTCTTTCATTGATAATATCACTCCTCCAACAGCAGAAAAAGATACGTAGACATAGCAAAGAAATGTTCATGATGTAATCATCGTACCAAAGGCAGGCAACAAGTAATGATAAATTATAAACAAGCAAAATGTATGAAAAATGTGCCCTCTCTGTCTGTCACATTGAGCACATATTACAACATATTACATGGAATATTTATAAATCTATGAAATATCCTGAAGTAATGTCATATTAAATTATTATCTCCTGTATTTTTATGTATATTAAGTAACTTTGAAATCACAATATCCATGTGAGCACAATTAGAGTGGAGATTTCTCCAGGAAGTATGTAGAGACTTCTACCAGTGACTTTAATCCGAAGAAATCTCCAGTATAAATATGCAGGATTACCCAAATTCAAACATGTAGTAGTGAATAAAATGTTTTGTGATCTTATGTTACATGACAATTTATAAACTTGGCACAACAACATGCATAATTATGTGCACACTAGTTATGGCATAAATCCAGAGCATTGCACTATACTACTGGCTAAATTTCATTGAGCCAACAATATTGGACATGAAGTTTGAAAATTGACATTGTAAAATACAATACAGTAAATTTCCATTTCATAGATTAATGCAGGTCAGGATGCTTTGAAATTTAAATAAATGCAACAGGGAATAAACACCCCATGTGCCCCTTCCCATCATATTCCTAACATTAAAGAGAGTAAGCCATAAGCATTACAGAAATACAAGTATAGACCTATAGCTATGCATTACAATGTCAAGCATAGTAAGCAGTAAGCACTTCAAGCTACTTACTTTAAAGCCCGCCAATTATCTCCCATATGCTTAGGGATAAGCAACTCTGCGTTAAGATTTCTCGCCAGCTTTCCTTTCCGAAACAGGTCTGTTTTAGTCGGAATGGCAGCAGAGACTTTTCCTTCATAATCCTTTCTTACAGAAGAAATCTCGCTGGTTTTACTGTCTTGAATCAATGAGCCAAGATCGTATATATGCCTACTTTCAGCCATGATGACTTCAAGATATAAATAAGCCAAATGCCATAGTCATGTAATTATAATTTTGAAGGTTTGAAGATTTATAACGCTGGCTCAAGTGCACCAGTCAGAATGAAATTTTGGTGTTCGTGGGCTTAAGTGCAACAGTCAGCAGCGATTTCCCACCGTGACGTAGGCTAAAAAACAATGAAATTCGTGACGTTTAGGTGGTTCACTCGGCCAAAGAGACTCGGGACTGTTGCACCAACTGGTGCACTTTTTCCCCACCGTGACGTAGTGATTCACTATCTAGCCACCGTGACGTAGTAGTACAAATTCAGCTCAGTGTAGCTGGATGATGAAACAAATTTTCGCCAAAAATGTCGACACATAAAACGCCATATTTAGCGACGCATTTTTTAATAATGCGGCTGTAATCAATATGATACTCACATGTAAACAATCTACGAAGGCTTTTAACAATATTTCTCAATGATCAATGTACATCTGTTGTCAATATATTGTCAGTGTTAAGGTATTTAAAGCATTTAGAAACTATAAACGTTCCAATCTGATATATTTCTGGCATTTTGCTCGTATTGATTGTAAGTTATAATGTTGTGAAATATTCAATTTTATGACTGATGCACTCGCATCAGTTGCACCACCCTGGATCCGCCCCTGGGCAGGAGAGGACGTCTGCGTTACACTCTAAAAACATCCTGGTTAAAAATAACCAGGATGGGGTTAAATTTTAACCAGGAAAGTATTCCAAATGGGACCAACGCAATCCTGGTTATTTTAACAAGGGATCGGGGTTAAATTAATTAACCCTTATTCTGGTTAAATTCAACCACGACCTAATGTTAAAATTTTGACACTTGTCCCAGTTAAAATTAACTAATTGCCTTGTTAAATTCCCGTGCGTTTCTTAGTGATTTATTGAGAGAGTGTATTTATGCTAAAAAAGTATATTTAGTTAAGAAAAAAACATTGCACGGACACAACTTACATTTAGTAAAAATTAAAAACAGAAGATAGACAAGTATCATGTATATTAACAACAGGTACATGCAATAGCTTGAGAAGTTTAGATTTATATCAATATATTTCTAGCGTCAATGGTCCGATTACTTTAATGCTGCTCTCATTGCAACAACAGCAGGTGTAGTCTTCTGTTTTCCATTGTCCTCAATGCCATACAAAACCTTTTGTATGAACTCCCACGACGAACAGCTCTGCCATGGGTAATTGACATCAAGTACGTAAAATAGTTTAAAGCAAACATCAATTGCCCTCACAAGATTAGGCTGCTCCAAGCCCTGGCTTTCGATTATAACGAACGCTTGCGTTGGGCTGCATCGACTACCAATTGCTAAAACAACTGGCCATCTTGAGGCTGTTTCTAAATATCTGGGTATGTTTGTACCGACCTAAAAATAATTAAACAGTAGACTTGAGACTTTACATCAAATACACGAGTTTGATTATGCGACTATACTTATATGCAGAGCTGGTACTGAAATGTTTGAAAATGGTGATCATCTAGCATTTTGTGCAAAACAGTCCATGCATATGTTGACTTTCATCTTTTTTTAAATAATTGATATTTGTCACTGTTTCATAGGACTTAAGAAAAACTTTCTCAGGGAAAAAAATGCTCATGTTTTCACACATTTTACTGACAGCAGCACGAGACAATGCTATAAAGTACCAAAATTCAATAATGCATGGCTTTTGTTATTTTTTTTTTTCTGCAATGGCAGCAATCTTGCTTTAATGCGGGGGAAAAAACATATTCATGTACTCATACACCAGCCTAATTTCTTTTCAAAACAATTTTCCTTTCAAAAAAAATCAGGAGGGCATGACAGAATATAAAAATATGGTCCTCTTCAATTAACAACGGATTGACGCCCGTGCTTTTTTGACAAAATTTGTATTAGGTACTGTGAATAAGTTATGAAAAGATTTTTGATAGATACCGGTTGGCAATCGATAAAAGCACATAATGCTTCATCAGTTGTACACCTCTTTTTATTTTTTCTTCCAGTAGGAAAAATGCATGGAAGGAGACCGATCGCAGCATTTCTTTTCTCTTCATCTATAAAGTAGTTTATAAATAAAAGTCAGTGTTTTTGGACTTTAGATGAAGAAAGTATTTCATGTATCAAATATGTTTTATGCATTATGTAACCGTTTTTGCAATTTTTACCGGAATTCAGGTTTCTTGTCGCAATATTCAAGTATCTTGTCCATTTTTCTGTTTGTGTATCTGCGTAACAAATTATTTTCTCCACTGTTTCTGGTGTAAAACGCAGAAAAAGATTATCCGCGACATCTGGATACAATGTTGCAAAGTCTATTTCAACCTGAATAAATTTTTGAAAAACATTTGGCTAGCCGTACAAGATGATGTATAACGAAAGAACGTCTAAGAATTTTCTTTACCATGCCAGGGACATCAAAAAGTCGAGGGTATTCTTTCATAACCTCTAGTATTGTAAGTTGTGGCGTTTTTCTAATCCATTCTGATCGATTTAAGACGGTCTTCTGCATATAACTTTTTAGGGTTGAGATATGCTCCCAGTTGCCTTTCATCCACTGCTTCATTCCATCATGGTCAGATCCATTTAAGACTGGCTCTTTTTAAGAAAAAAAAGCAAATTTTCTACAAGCACCACCAATTAAACTACTAATATCTTTTTAATTGACGAATTTAACCTCGTAGAGATCTTGGCAAGTGTTTTAGAGAAGTTGAAGTTGAGCCAAATTCTTGTTCAGTCTGACGGTGTTTTATGTTCTTTCTCCTAACATTTCTAAGCCGTTCTTCCAACCACCCTGTAGCAGAATGAATTCCCTTTCCTGGCGTGTACCAAGCTTCCTAAATATTGAAAAAGCGATCACGTACAAGAAAGAAACAAACATTTGTAAAATACATCATTTGATTCCAAATCAAAAGTTAAACGTAATGAGAAACGCGTACATATCCTTGACCCTCTTCGTCTTTAAGGAAAGGAAACTGCTATACCACTGCCTTTGCCATTTGGATTTTGATGTCTGCATGAGGCCTGTATTTTTGAAATATTTAAATTTTACTATGGATGTTGAACAATTCAGAACTTTTACGGTAGCGTGCATGTGTACTTATGACGTCATTGAAAATGTAATAAATGTCAAATTTCGGATTATCAATCTCACATTATAATAATTTCATAGAAACATTTTGCTTATTTCCTGTAAAAAATTTACCTTTTTCTAAAAAGTATAAACATTTACATGTTTCTCGAACACGACGCTTCATTGCTAAAATCTCATTTTACTATTGTGTTAATTTGTACAACTCATTGATTTTCTATTTTTACGATTTTTTACTGTTACGATGACATCATAGGTAGACTTACATTTTGCAGTAAAAGTGGTGAATTTAGTCTTTCATATTTTCACAAACCTTTCTCCAAACTGATTAATTATGTAAGCCACTAGTATCTGAACCATCTTGATTCTGCTTTTTCTGCTTAATTTATCCGTATCCAGTTCGCAAATCACTTGAGCACCAACTTCGGACTCTTCCAAAATCGATTTGATATTCTTTAAAAAAAAAAGATAAAAAAGTGTGTTTGATGTTTAATTGCTCTACAAGTGTTAATGCTTACAAAATCATTCCTGGGTTTCTTTCTCGGTTGAAAAGTTTGAGCCCCACAGTTCTCGAATATAGCTGATTTGCTGCTACTGAACGCTTTGCCTCGCTTTCTTTTGGCTGATAAGTAAACTCGGGACTTGAAGATGCATATATTGGATAAAATAAATAGCATCCATAGAAAGTTTATATTGTTCAATTTAATTTAGTGTTTAACGTGAATAAGGGTAATTGTATTAAAAGCAACACGATGGTATTTGTAATAAAGAAAGATTTTTACAAAATGCAATCTGCAATCGTTTGAAATTCAAGAACTGCAAAAAATGCAAAGACGATGACAAAACAGCATACAAATGTTTTTTTATGCAGTGCGGTGTTTTGAAATTAAATGAAGATATGATCTTCGCACTTTGCTGGACAATTTAAGCAATCGTCTCAGGACCTGAAAAAATCAGGTGACTCAACGGGAATCGAACCCATGACCTCTGCTGTGCCGGTGCAGTGCTCTGACCAACTGAGCTATGAAGTCACACAGTGGTGAGCAGGTCAATATTGTTGGGCTCATGTTTTCTCGTGAAAGGAATGTCGTATGAATGTTTTTTTTTTGTTCAGGTTGGTTAGTAACATCAGAGAGTAGTTTCCATTCAAACTTGAAAGACAGTTTCGCTTCAGCAAAGGAGGAGGACCAGGTAGGTTGTACAAGGTTGTAGGCTGATAGTATGTTAAGTAGAGATTTTGGGAATTCATGAGAACTGTTATTGTTCTTTCCAACATACCATTCTATTTTAAGTTTGATCGATTTATTGTTTATATTGATGTCCCAGGATGGAGAAGAACCAATACCAAGATTTCCAATTAATGAGGAAGCTTGAAAAGGTAAGGGATAGTATGATTTACCAATGAAATCGTTTGGATTTGATGAAATTTTCTTAGGCGTAGTATTATACGCGGTGCTTTGACCATTATATGCGTATAACGGTCAAAGCACCGCGTATAATTCTTAAAGCACCGCGTATAATGCTTAAAGCACCGCGTATAATGCTTAAAGCACCGCGTATAATGGTCAAAGCACCGCGTGAAATTTGCAAGACCTAAGACAGCTATGGCTTTCCATAAACTACACTAAAGTGTTGAACTAAAGATTAACCCGGCTTTAACCAAAATCTAAGTTAACTTAACATATTTGGGGTTGAAATTCATTCAACCAGGATTTTTTAACCAGGATGTTTTTAGAGTGTACACTGTACAAAAAAGCCAAATAGAACTCCTTCGCGAAAAAAGATTTTCTTGGGTGCGAATTGCAAAATTGCTTAATATTTCAATTCGAATGCTTCAAAGACACAGAGAACAATTGGGCATTACTGATAAACCTTACACAAATATAAGTGATGGAGACCTTACCCAAGTAATGCAAGAGGTAAGCCTCACAACTCCAAATATAGGTCAAGCGCGTATGCTTGGTGCACTTCGAAGCCGTGGCACGCATGTACAAAGATTTAGAGTTCGTCAAATAATGAGAACAATAGATCCATTGGGAACATTTCTTCGATGGAACCAAGCTGTCTATCGTAGTAGGTATTCTGTGCCCTATCCAAATGCACTTTGGCACATAGACGGTAATCATAAATTAATTTCTTGGAGAATGGTAATTCATGCATGTATAGATGGCTACAGTCGCTTAATTGTTTACTTGCATTGTCCAAACAACAACTTAGCTGCCACAGTGAAAGAATAATTTCTAGTAGGAGTGCAGAAATGGGGGCTTCCATCTCGGGTGAGGTGTGATCATGGTCTAGAGAATGTGGAGGTTGCATGTTTTATGTTGCATAACAGAGGATTGAATAGAGGAAGTATTCTTACTGGGAAATCAGTCCATAATGTTCGTGTGGAGCGATTACATCGTGATGTCTATGAAGGGGTGTTGTCATAATATGTAAAACTCTTCACGGAAATGGAGAATGAAGGAATATTAGATGCTATGAATGATTTGCATTTGTTTTGCCTTCATTGTGTCTACATACCTAGAATTCAAAGAGCACTTGATGAGTTTGTTGCCCAATGGAACTCACATCCTGTGAGCACAGAGTCAAACCTAAGTCCTGACCAACTTTTTGTTAGGGAACTTTTTCAAGTGGAGCATACATTGCAGATACCAGCATGGTTGGGAAGAATGATGAAAATCTGGGGAGTGGGATTGACATGGATTTAGATGCTCCATTGCAAATTGAGGACAGTGATTATCAGGTACCTGTTCCAGAATTTTATTTACTTCTTCAGCTGAAGTTTGGGCTGTGTTAAAACCACATATCAATGAATCAGCAAATGATGAAAGTAATGGAACATTTCTTTATTTGTCATGCATTCACTTTTAGAGAGTATTTAATCAAAACTTTGTCAAACTGCATTTAAAGGAAAAAAACTATATTTACAAAAGATTAATTGATGGAAGTTGATTATATTTGTAATGAGAAAACCTTATTTTTTTTGAATACTTGTTCGTTTTAGAGTTCCATTAGTAATTGGATGACATACTGATGATTTTTACAAAAAATATTTTGTTTCCTTCAAAACTATTTTGACTTTGTTGCTGCCAAAAATATTTGTAAAAATGCTCTTTGATGTTCATTTCATGTAACAAAACAGTAACAGTTTAATTTCTTCAAACAAAACATGAACATAACAGTAAATAAAGTATTACAAACTATTCAAAAGCCTAATATATACATAACAAAGTAGCTATCAAGTAGCTTTGACAAAGTTAAACAATATGAAAGGACCACGATTCTTTCTCCTCCATGATATTGGTGAACTCTTCTGAGAGTTCATTGAATGATTGGTAGGTAGATGGTAGTTCAAACATAGATGGTAGGTCCGCATGTATGAGCAATTGGTACTCAAAGTGCATTATCTGCAGCTGTAAAAGCCACTTCAATTGATGGTACAATTAGCATATTACTTCCTGTTGTAAATTGCAAGAACAATTCTAAAGAACTTTCTGAAAGTGTTTTGAAAAACTTCTTTAAATATTCAAATGCTTGGACTTCAGAGTCTGATGATGGGGATGCAATTAGTATTTTTACAACATCTTTAGGAGAGGGTTTTTTCTTATCATACAATTGTTTTATAATCTCAATGTTACTGAACTGACTTGTATTTTTCAATGGCTGTAATATGAGACCCCAACAATTGGAAATGTAACGTGGCTTCTGTATTAACTCCTGATGAGCAAGTTGACTGACAATCATTGAAATATTTTCTTTAGTGGGGTTCTTGTAACACTTGTAGCTGGATAAAATGTCTAATAGATCTTCATCCTGGGGATCAAAATCATTCTTTTCTTCAATGTTTCAGCTTCATCAATTGGTAGAAATTTGTAAAATGATTCAAGAAGCAAATCATGTGTGATTGCCTCTTCCCCAAACAAACATGACATAAGGAAAATGCATGACAATGAAACAAGGAAATACTTAATGGTATAATAACCAAATACCATAAATGTTGCCAAAACTGTTGCCAAAACTGTTGCCAAAACAGGCTAACAACCTCACGTGTAACCCCAGAACCTCTACCATCTTCAATATTACCCTTTCATCTACAATGGCAATACTTAATGTGCAACCAACAATAGCAGGATCCTTGAATTCATCTATGATATCCTTAAGAACATGGCTTCTGTGAATTAGAACTTCTCTGACTGGTAGTTTACTTGGTAGGTCTACCAAAATACACAATACCCTAAGTCTAAACATAAAAAATATAAGGAAAATGTTGATTTAAAAACATTGCAATTTACCTTGAATTTCTAAAGGTCCCTGAATATCAGAATATTCAACATTCTGGAATAGTTGTCGATCTAAAAAATAGAATGCTTATGTTCAATTTTAAAAAAAATAAAAGTATGCTGATTGAATTTAATTTCAATATTTCCTGACCTTGTGTTTTAAGAGGTAAGGAATCGTTGCCATGCTCAGGATTTACAATGGCATCCATTTCATCAGAGATGGTAATGTTATAAGCAACATCAACAGATAAATTGGTTGACAGATTTGACTGACCGCCAACCTCAGAAATCTGCTGGTGAGCATCATCGTCAACTATGACTGTTTGTTGCTCAATGACGTCTAAAGTCTCACCATGAGTAGGACTAGACTTATCAGCCTTCTGTGAATCAACCAGAGCACTCTCATAATCACTATCTTCATCCAGACACTCATAGGAACGAATGTTGACAGATCCTTGACCAGAAAGTTTAAGCAAAAGGTTACCAGTCATTTCCACTCCTGGTGCAAGGTTTGGTTTGATGAGTTTGCCATAAGATGCCTAATGTAAATTTACATTACTGTTAGTGAAGATTCAGTCAAACAAATGGAGAAGTTCATGATCCATTCCGAATTTTCTTTCACACAAATGCTACTCAACTGAAATGTCCGTAGAGATAATGAACCAAAACATTTTTTAGTTCTATAGTTATAATTAAAAGAAACAGGCATTTTTCTGATAATTTGATGTACAGATAACCATTTCATTGCAGTCATATGGTAGATTAAAAGCATTTTCAACTTACTTTCATGTACTCGAAGCATAACAGCAAATACTTCGGAAATGCCTCCGCAAGTTTACGTGTTAGTATTTGTGTATCCCACTCACGTTGAAAAGGAAAGCTGCGCACTACAAAGCCTTTACTATCCAACATAACTCTTGTGGAATGCGTGGGCACAATTTCTTCTCCTGGATCGGGGATAAGAACCAAGTCTCTCAGTACAGGCTTTGAATATTTATTGTTTCTACGAGCACTGGTGCTTGACTTTTTTCTACCAGTGGCGGCCTGGTAAAAATTCTGTTCTCTTCGTCCTGTGCGGGACACTGATGTTTCAGGGGATGCTTGAGGCCTACGTAGGCTTGGAAACCGTCGATAAATTTCCTCTGGGACGCTCGTACTTGTAGTTGCATTCGCCGTTGAACTACTATTTGTCGACATTGCAACGCTTTCCCTTCCAAATTGAGATATACTAGGAGTCCTAGCTATCCTTTCTAGGTCAGAAATTCTTTGTAACGCCTTA